TATTCCGTATGTTCTCATTTTGTAATAAGTTAACTTATTTAGATGTTTATAATTTTAATATTTCATGTATAAAATCATTAATGTATAACATATATCTATTTTTTTTTTTTTTTTTTTAACTACCTTACGGTACTTTTTATTGAGACGATAATAAGTGAAGTGGTCCCTAACTTAGTCTAATAATAATAACTAATATTAAAATTGTAAAATAAATATTTATAAATTTAAACTAAGTCATATGGCTTGACGCGTTTTAAACGTCTTAGGTCATTGGAATTGTCCAATAGTTGAATTGCCGCTATATTTTCATGGTTTTCTAATCTCATTATTGGTCAAGTTCTGAATTTATGTCGTACGGTTGAAAAACATATTCTAAATGAAGTGTATATGCTTCTGCTTTGTCCCTATCAGTACGCGCCCACGTACCATTTTCTTTACGAATAGGAGGTATATAAGCTCCAGGTCTTTTCATTTTTCTTGTAGCTTCCCATAGAGAATAATCGCTAGATACTGTAGTAGATAGTCTGCTTAAATATAACTTAAATGTTTCGTTTTTAACTTCTTTAATTTTCTCTCGAAGCGCTTTGCATAGGCGATTCCATTCAGTTTTATCGGCGTTTTTGCCGAATAAGTTCTTTTATCTCTGCTGGATAGGTTGTCTCACATTATCTGTCTATACAAGTTTCTGGAGTAACTTTTTTTGCCGCTTAGACAATATCATTAGTTAGTTTATGTACTACTGTTTCTATGTCACTTGCTGTTTTAACTGTACGGAAAGTGTGATAGTTTTTTCCCATTGTGAAAAGATCCCAGTCTGTTTGTTTATTTGTGAGAAAAATTTTCCACTTTTTTAATATGGCATTCGAACTTATTGTTAATAACACAGGAATGTGATCAGACGATAAGTCTACCAGCTCTTCTGCTTGAACATAATTAGAAGAGATACCTTTAATTACGAAGAAGTCTAAAAGATCAGGAATTTTATTTGAGTCACTTGGCCAGTAAGTTGGTTTTCTAGTAGAAATAAACTTAGCTTTGTTGTAATTAGCTGATCTTAATAATGTACGTCCTTTAGGGGTAATAAGTCTTGATCCCCAATGAGTATATTTGGCGTTATAATGGCCACCTACGATAAAACAGATGACTAGAGTTTGGAAAAACTCATTGAATTTATTAAAGTCAACGCCACCTTGAGGTGGACAATAAATTGCCGAAACTGAGAAATAATTACTCTCATTAATGACTCTGACATTTGTTGCTTGTATGTGCATTGTTGAATACTGTTCAAGCTCAAAATGCATTGTTTTATAATAACTGCTGTACCAGCACGTGCTCTACTGCTTGGATGTAAGGTAGTATAGATATTGTAATTTTTTATTTTTAAAAAAGTCCATGGGGTGAAATGTATTTCCGAAATAAGAGCTATGTTAATGTTCTCATTAATTAAGAAGTCTTCAAGTTCATGTTTACGCTGTACTAGCCCATTGGCGTTCCAAGCTATGATACGTTATGTATGATTCATTTCTTCTTTTTGTTTTGATTGTTGGACTTAGACTTATCAAGTCTACTTGTCATATTTGTTAAAGATTTTGTTATACTTGTAAGGGCTGATAAAATTTCCATTAGAGCTGAGTTATCACTTTCGACCGACTGTATTGGTTGTTTTTTAAGAATAACGTTATTTCCATTAGAACTACTAACTATTTTAGCATAGGAAACATCCAATGTAACAATTTTAGCAGGTTTCTGTTGACGTTGCACTGCGGATGTTTTTTTTTGGTGGATTTTTTTTTCTGCTTTCTTGTAAGCTGAACAGCCTTTCCAATTTGAGCTGTGGGCTTCTCCGCAATTGGCGCATTTCGATTTCGATTTTTTCGTTTTTAGACAATCTCCTGTTTTATGTTCTTCACCACATTTTACACAGATAGATTTTTTGTGACAATAATTTTGAGTATGTCTAAAGGCTTGGCAGTTTTTATACTGTAGCACGCCTTCTTTTGTCTTCGGAGGTTCTACATTTATTTTATGATAACATAAACTATTTAAGTCGTATATATCTTTATTGTTATCTCAAGGATCAAGGTCTACAAAAAATAACGGTAATTTTATTATTGTTTTTTCACTATTTTTGTCACTAGGATTTATTTTTTGCCTAATATGGATGTTAGTGACATCACTTGCATAATGACCATTATCTGCTAGGGCTCTTTTAATTTCACATACTTCAGTGTCAGAGTGTAATCCTCTGATTACAACTTTTTTTCTGTTATTAATTGATATCTGTGATACTCAATTTTATTTTTGTCAAGTACTTTTAAAGTACGTCTGAACTGGTGTTCATCGCCAGTCATAATTTTAATATCGCCATTAGCAATAGTTTTTAAATGTTGCTCATGACCAATGGCTTCTTCGCGAGTTAAATTAGAAATTAAATCGTTGATATTTTTAACACCACTGGCAGTTATTGGAGGTGGTTTATAAATTTTTGGCGCAAGTTTTAATAAAATTTTTTCTATTTCTTTTACTTGTTTTTTTTATGAATTACGTGAAGCATCTGAGCTACAGCCTGGTTTATCACTAATAAAATTTTTATTTTCATTATTATCATGTATGTTACTTACACGCTGATTAACTTGTTGAGTTTTCAACTGCTCAATGCTAATTTGGAGCTCTACTACCATTTTTCTTAATGATTCATTTTCACTTTGTAGTTGATTCAAAATACGTTGATCAATTAAAATTTGATTTGGCCGTGTAATTATATTATCATACATGTTCATTGTTGACAAAAACGGCGGCACAAACCGTCGCACCCAACTTGACCTAAATAATTGTTGATACACTTAGAACTTTACTGTAGTCAGCGAAAACATTTTTCGTTATTGAGTATTTATTAAACAATATGCGGAAATTCGACACTGTAGAGCGGAACAAATAACTATTTGACTAAATTTATTTTATTTTTCGTGTAATTTTTGTATTATTATTTGTGTATATTAATTTTTCTGCCCTCATTGCCGTTACTTAGTAATAAATAGATATATTATACATTTCAAACCCAGAGATAACATCACCAAAATCCAATATCATAATTTTGTTTATTGTCAATTATAATAATAACCCCCTGCCTTACATTTATTTTTATTTATTACACTAATATAAATTAATACGTTCAATAAATTGTTATTACACACTAGAAAATTTAATTAAAACCCATATAAGATATAAGGGTGGACCAATAATTATTTTATTATAGATAATTGGTAATTCCATATGTAACTAACAAAAAAAATTCAAAAAACTTTGAGAGAAATTGAGTTGCTAGTGTAAATTACATAAGCAGTAAATTATAAATTACATATTATACAGAGTAATCGATTAAAACTCATTTATTCAAAAACTTAAATATTTTTAATTTTTTTAAAAAAAAAAAATATTGTTCGATTCGAAAAAGCTACACTAATATGTAGTTAAATATTTTTTATTAATCCCATTGTAGAAAAAAATTAGTCATAATTTCTTCATGTTGTCATATAAGTTATTGACAATTCTTGATATCATTTTTCTACTTACAATAGCATGAATAATATTGATAAAAATTATAGCTTATTTAAACAAATTATTGTTGCATTTCATATTATGAAAATCATAATAAAGATAAATTTCTATTTAAGGTCAATACATTACACCATACAATTAAAAAATGTATGATGTATTAATGATTAAAATTTGTTAAAGATAGCTTATAAGTACTTTACCAACTTAAGAGAACCCTTTAAAATATCTTAATTAGAATAATTTAATAAATGAACTAGTGTTATAGAATACTATTAAAAACATCTACCAACCAACAATTTTATGAATATTCTAATTATTTTTTAAAGTTTTTTTATGAGTATTAATAATTAAAATTTTTATTTACTATTATTTTATATTTTTTATCTATATAGGTTCATCTGTTTATTATAGTCACTACTAATTACAAAAAAAAAATAATAATTTTGGAACAATTTTTTAGTTACATTTATTTTTTGATCTATCAATTATCAAGTACTTTTTTAGTTCACCCTTTAAACATTATAAGAGTGTTAATTTTATTTTTTTGAATCGAAACATAAATATTTAACTACCATATAAAATAAAAAATTATCTAATCAAAAAAATGACTTGTTAGTAAAAACATTTGGTCCAATACTTCTGAAATTATTAACATTTTTATACCTAGACAGGAGTACGAATATGATCATGAAATGTGTTATAATAAAGATAAGGAACACCTGTTTCTCACATTCAGGCTTTATGTTCAAATTGCTAAACAAGTTCCAATATGTGTTATTGACCAGTTATTTCCTATTTTATATACTACTTAAATATTTAAGTAGCAATTATGTAATTGTTTCCAATGAAAATATGACTAAAAAATGGCAAAATTCAATGAAATTATAAATATTATATATTTCCGATATTATTTTTATTTTGTAAGTAATTGGATGGATTATGATAAAAAAGGTATCTTTCTTTCACATCTTCAGCCGTGGTTATGCCCAAAAATTAATTTAATCTGCCAAAAATTTACCCTTGCCTTCACTTAAATTTATTAGATATTCACTCAAATTATTAGAGCAGACCAAATTCCCAAGTTATGCCGATTAATTGATGTGTAATATAATAAGAATTTTAATATTAAATAATATTTAGCCGATTTTTTTCTGAATACTAGTACATTAGCTCATTTTGCATAAATCAATATAGCCAGTATGAACACATTTCTTTAAACTCAAAAGCGAAAAATTAAAAAAAAGTCCACTTAACATTAAGTCCTGGAACTGGTTTTAATTCTTGGCGTTAAGTACTAATCGTATTGTAGGATATTCATAACATTTTATAACCTGTTATTTCCAACGGTATACCTTCCATAGCTGTTCAAGAAGTAGAGGGGTGTATTACGTTACAAATATACCATAGATGCACCTAAAATTATTTTACTGTTTAATTCAGTGGTGACTTCGTCAAAGTAAACGTTAGATTTTATTTTAGTATTAATTAATTAGTAAATAATATGGAACAAAAAGATGAAGCTTGTGAAAATATGTTGGATCCGTGTAAAATAGAATACGCCAGTTCAAAAAAGGATTTCAGCTCTAAAATCGGTTATGTTTTAAATAATATTACTGTAGAACCTGTGCTGTTACTTGTCCAGGCTTCATCAATATTGACAAGTTTAACCACTCAAAATTTAAATCTACAAAAAGCATGTCGAGTGAATTTAAATTACAGCGATGAAATATGTACCGCTATAGAAATTAAAAATACAACTTTTTATAAAAATGAAGAACTCGAAGTACAACAATTGGTAACAAATATGCTAATATGGCAAACTATAATACAATGCAGCGTACCATGTGTACTAGTGATATTTATTGGTTCCTGGAGTGACCGGCATAAAAAACGAAAACCTTTCATCTTAATACCAATTATTGGAGAATTAATAAGAAACATTGGATTAATTTTGTGTGTATACTTTTTCTATGAATTACCGATGGAAATAGCAGGCCTGGTTGAATCAATACCAATGGCTTTTTCGGGAGGAATGTCTGTTTTATACTTAGCTGCATTTTCCCACGTTATAGATATTAGTACTGTGAGTAAACATTTATACATTTAATTATACATACATAAACTTTAAGAGCTGGGAAAATTGTTTTACACATCAAAAATTCGAAAACTAATTATAGTTAATCTTTGTCTTTTCGTTAAAAAAAACGAGTAATCAATATAATTTTTAATTATTGTATTGATTTCATCTTTTTCAAATAGATCGAAATTATCTGAAACGTTTAAAATATATATTTTTTAATATTATAGTTATATATTTTGAAATTCATTTTAGGTAAAAAATAGAACTCTTAGAGTTGGACTTTTAAATATATCTTTTGGAACTGCATGGCCAGTTGGTGCTGCTCTTTCTGGGATCATATACCATAAATTTGGTTTTTATGCTGTGTATGGCTTATCTTCAATATTATTCATGATAGGTCTTATTACTGGATTTTCACTTGTTAACGACCAACCAAAAAGTTCAAAAAATAACAAGCTTATCGAAAAGAAACAAATGTGTATGTTGGACTTTGTAGATTTTTTCAATGTTAAACACATAAAAACTGCTTGGAATGTTACATTTAAGAAAGGACCAAACTCGAGAAAAGCTAAAATTATTATGTTACTTATACTTTTCTTAATTGTGGATGGTCCTATACAAGGTTAGTATAGAGTAACCAAAATTTAAATAAAATATAGCCATAAAAAGTAATTTATAAATACATAACTATTACTTCAACTACGAAAAAAAAATTAATTACATATTTAAAAAGTATCAGCTTTTCTTCTTAAATAATTAGCAGAATTATTATAATTTAATATTTTTACAACTTTTTTGAAAGTAAATGAATATATTTACAATACATTTTTTTCATGTAGAACCTTTGTGTTTTTAATGTGATGATATTCATAACAAATGATAAAATTCAAATGTAAACGAACTTGATGTTATTTTTTCGCTTGTCTTATTTAAATTTTTAGACAAGTACAATTATTTTTACATAAACTTCTTGGAATCAATAGTAGATATTATGATTTTTAGTTTTTTTAATTTAGTAAGATTCCATGAAATAGCATAAGATTTCTCCAGAACCTGTCCTTGACTTTATATGGTCAAGGACATAAGTATATCACATAAAAATAGTTTTAAACGAATAAAAACTATCAATAACAAATATTTTTATTTAAACATGATAGTTTAAAAATACATTCATTAACTTATTTAAGTTTAGTATTTCATTTAAAAATAAACTGTTGTTTAAACAATTTTAAAGCTATTTACTATATATAAAAATAGTATAATTTTTACTTTTTTTATTCATCACGAAATATCAGAAATTTTTATAACTCAATTGATTTTTAGTTTACGTGGTAAAAAATTTGCATTATTTTTTAAATTTGTTTTACATTTGATGGGTACATCAAATATTCAAAGCTTTGTAACTATTTAATCTTATAATGTTTCAATAGAAAATTTACGTAATTTTATTCGTTAGAATATATTTTTATTGGCATATTTTCACCTCATAAGTATCTATATCTATAATTTATTACCTATACCTCAATCAGGTTTTTTTTTATATGAAATATTTAATTGTTTCAGGAATCATTGCAGTTGAATACATGTACACTCAATTAAGATTTAAATGGGATGAGGTCGACTATAGTTTATTTTCAACAAGTGTATTCCTAATAAATATAACAGGTTTGTGTTATTAAAAAACAATTATTCAATTAAATAACTATAATTAAAAAATGTTAAAGGTATCTTGTTAACAATCAGCGTACTCACCAAAATATTAAAAATGGAGGATTCATTAATAGGACTGATTGCTGTTACTTGTAAAGTGATCGGAGGTTTTATATTTTCATTTGCCTCTACAGAGTATATGTTTTACTTTGGTAAGTATAATTATGTTAAAAAAATTTGTTAGATATTGTTTTTAAAAATCTGTAATAAAATTATATTTAAGAGGTCTAAAAATCTACAACTGGATTAGACAACTTGTTACTTAAAAATGAACAGAACAAATAATTTTCCAAATTAAAAAAAAATAATAACTTTATAATAATAATCAAACTATGTACTTAAATACAATAAATTTAACATAGAAATAGTACGAGTATAAAAGTTTATAGAAACTACGTTTGTTATAATACATATATATATATATATATATATATATATATATAGGTAGTTTATTATAATCGTACTAATAAAGTATCATTACAACTACTCTAAGACATTAAATTTGTTTAGACATTGATCTATATATTACGCAGATTGTCATTTGAATTGTGCAATTATCGTTAAATTTTAGTTTATTATTATATAAAATTAATAATATGTAATTTTTAGGAGCGTTTGTTGAAATGATGTTTTCTGCGTCATATATTGCTCCAAGAGCTATAATTTCAAAAATTGTACCACAAGACGAAATTGGTGTGTAAAAAATTTTATAGAATGTTCAGTAAGGAAATAGGTTTCTTTTGTTCACATTGTTTATACATATTAACCTAATTCCTTTCTTTTTGAACACTCTGTATAGTCAGAAACTATTTTTAATTAACTTAATTGTAATTTTAGGCCAAGTGTCGTCAATTATTGTTGTCATACAAACAGTGTCACCAGTAATTTATAAAACATTATATGGCATTATTTATAAGCTTACGATGAAGATATTTCCAAGTTTCTACTATGTGTTCACCTCCTTATTAGTTATGCCAGCAATTTTCGTTTACTTGTAAGTGTGAAAAAATATAGCTCAATTTCATTCGTTAAAGTAATTTTTAATATTTAACTTTATTTGTGTCATCCTCTTATTAAGATTTTATAATTTCTGTAAAAATTGATATATCATTGGTTTTACTACAATGACAAGTAAATCATAAACTTAAATAAAATCTTCATTTTTTAATATTAATATTATAAGACATTTAATGATACACCAATAAGCTACATAATACCCATTGTTAATCTTTAAATAATTGTATAGTTAATTTTTTTATATTATATATGAACTTAAAAATTATTAACTGATACTCAAGATATCTTAATCATAATATTATTAGTTAAGTTTAACAACAAGCCAAATTGAAATTAAAAGTATCCCTAAAAATTCTTTCTACGATAACAAAAGAATAATTTACTTTAATGTATAAAACGTAAATATCGTTGTGTTGATGCCCTCAGACAATTTCAAAATCTATACTTAATTATTATTATTATTTTTTTTTTAGGTGGATATATCAACAAAGTAAACGATCAAATAACAAAGTGAGATTATGATAGTAAAATAATTTAAAGTTTTATAAAAAGTAGATGGTGAATAATTAACCATATGGTTCATTATTATAAAACGTTATTTTTTACTTATATTTTATTAAAAACTTCTTACACTAAGGAATTATTTTAAAACCAGTTATACACAAAAAACAACTGCTTTCATTTGCCCAACACGAAAGCGAGTATTTAACAACTGTCAAATTTATTACAAAAGAAGTATATAAGATCTTAGTGTGTATATTTCTCATTATATATGCGTAATTGATATTTATGGAAAATTTTCACTTATTTATTATTTAATAGAGCGTTCATTAATTTTAAGGGAAACAATTTTCTAGTTATGTATAATTATAAACTATGCATACATTAGATTTCTATAGTGCATTAATTGGGGTAATTTTACCTTTGTACTGTATGAGTTAATCACAAAATTAACGAGGTAAGTACTCGTTTATAAGCTATTTCATATTGTATTCTGCACATACATTTCAATATTACGGAAATGTTCGGGTATTGTAAATAGAAAACGTATTTACCTATTGACTATGCATTGTTGTCTAATTATTGAATAAGTACGTTTATGTTGCCATCTAAATTATGACTAAAATTAATAAATAATTACGCATGTAAATATGTTTGAATAGATTTCATGTATTTTTTGTTCCTACCTACCTAACCTAATCTATTGTTTGTTGAACTTGAATAACTTTGTAACACATTTTTATTGTAAACATATACAGCATAATTTTATTTTATTCCACTATAGTTATTTAAGTTTTTAATTTTAAGTTATTTTTCCTAAGTACTTTACAATTACATATGATTTATATTATAAATCATGTTTTTTTATTCAACGATTAACCATTTTTCCTGTAACCACTTTTTAATTTTAATTATTAAATAAGAATTTGTTATGTAATGTAATCATTTTTTTTTTTTTTGCAAACGTGTAATATAAATTAAGTATTTTTCATTTTTTAAAATGGTTATTTTATTATTATTATTATTGTTATTGTTATTATTATTTTATTTATTTTTTATTAACATAATCGTGTAATATAACTCAAAAGACAGTTAACCAATGAAAGCTTAAAAATGTTTTTTTTACATTTTAAATATTGGTAACTTGTATTTACTATTTTCTAAAAAAAAAATTTAAGTAATAAATTGAGCAGATTTTTATCATGTTTAAAGCAAAACAATTTTAAATTAGTTAAACCTATTATTACTAATCAACAACAATTTTTGTAAAATATTTATAAATTTTAGTGCTTATTTATATATTTTGGTATTATAATATAAATAAATTAGTTGGGACTTAAACAACAATAATATATTTTTTTATCTCTTTTTTTTGTTTTACTAATTATTCTTAAGAATAATTAAATAAACAAAGTTTTAATAAAAACATCTCATAACAATACGCATATGCAGTATGTATATTATATTAATGATGCAAAAAATAGATCACTAAGTCCCGATTATAAACAAAAAAATGGAATGTAATAAAATGAATATATATATAAAGATGTACTTATGATACAATTTAATAGTATAATTAAAATAGAAATACACTTTGATTGATTTATTACATTAGAAAAGAGACCTAGAGAGTGAGAATCTTGTGTAGAAATCACATATTTTGTATATTTTAAAATTACTGAAAGAACTGGTTTCGACGGAGAAAAATGGCTTTTTACAGTCAGAAGGAAGTAGTCTAGCGATCCTTAGCATGATTTTGGGAGGCTTTCTATTCTAATTGGTTAATTAATATGTGGTAGCTGCGCGTAGGCGTTACTTAAAAATATGTACAATAAATATATTTTATCCTATAATTAGCTGGTTATTTTGATTTTTAAATAAGGGCACTCTGTTTTGGTGATCTTGTATATTCATAATATGTAACATAAATGTACAAACGATAACATCATATTGTATGTTAATATTATAAGTGATAATCAGTGGCGGCTCGTAGTTTAGACGGAGGGAACGATCGTACTCCCTACTAAAATGAATTAAATAAATATAGTTTAAAAAACTAAAAAAACACGCTTTTAAAGCACATCGAACTAAAAAGTTAAAAATAATTTTTAAAATAATTATGAAAAAAAATACTAGTATTATTGTGATAAAAGCGTCGGGCGCTCAATATACGAAAAATATGGCACAAAGCACCCACGCTTTTATCACAATAATACTAGTATTTTTTGTTCATAATTATTTTAAAAATTATTTTTAACTTTTTAGTTCGATGTACTTTAAAAGCGTGTTTTTTTAGTTTTTTAAACTATATTTATTTTTTACTTTTTAGTTTCATGTTATGATAGTAGTTACTATCAATATCATGGTTGTTACGGGTAACGGGAAATCAGGGTTCGATTCTGGGGAGGGAGTCTGAGAAACGGCTACCACATCCAAGGAAAGCAGCAGGCGCGTAAATTACTCACTCCCGGAACGTGGAGGTAGTGACGAAAAATGACGATACGGAAATCATCCCTCGTAATCGGAATGAATACTTTATATCTCTTAATTAGAATAAATCGTGTTAATATATTAATTTTAATAGTAATTAGAATATATATATTTATACAAATAATGCGACTTAACTACGTAAAAGTATCATGCACTAAGTATAGCTGTGTTTTATGGCCGGGCGGGTCGGACTAACGTTATACCCGAGGTATAAACGGCGGTAGATATATATATATATATACGTAAGGCGCATTAGACGCGGGCGTTATTGGTCAGTCAAAATAAAAATTTGTTTATATATATATAATATTGATGACAAGCACGCGTGTACGGGTACGATAACTAAAAATAAATTTTTATAGGAATAGTGTGCCTTCGTGTGGTGAGCGAGGCGAGGGGAGGGGTGAATGTCTAGTCTCAAGGCCATAGACGACGGGATACGCGATAACGCGTGGCGTTTGAAGAGTTACATACATACATACATACATACATACATACATACATACAGGTGAAACTAATATAAGCGTGTTAAAAAAAAAAATTAATAGTACATTTTTATTAAAAATACAAATTTTTAAATAGTAAATAGTTATAATACATTTGTCGTGTGCGAACATTAAAGTTGCGGACCCGGACACTTCGCCACTACCGAATCGCCTCCAGACTCTTAATATATAAATTTATTATTAAATTTTCGAAAAATTATAATTATTTTAACATAATCCTTCATTGCCCAAGTCGTAAAAATCCAGTATAATGATATAAAATTTAATTATTTATATAATGTCACAAATTATTTAAATTTAATTTTTACTTAATTTAATTCTTATAATTAAATTTTATCATAATTATTATATTCATTGTTATTCTTTCATTTTAACAATTAATACTATTGAAATAACTATATTTGAAGCATACTAATGCTCTTATTTATATGTATAAATAATAAAAATTGTGATATAATTATTAATTATTAATGTATATACTTAGCACCGTATCATAAATTAACAAACCCAGTTTTTGCAAATTTTGTATATTTTTAATGAACAAGGTATAAAGTACTCAAAAATTCTGTATCCTCTGGATAGCTATTTTAATAATTTTAGAAATTAAACAATTAATACAACTTGAGTTAATATTATAAATTGTTATTTTTAAAAAAATCTAATCGTATGGATGCGAATATAGCAAGATACTTTATTATTTTGTATTATTATTTATTGTGTATAAGATATTTTGTTTAACAATAAATCAAAGTTTTAGAATGGTTAATTAGGGTAATTTTTGTTTTAAGAATACAACATATTAATTACTTTAATTTGTTCTTATAATAGTTGTAATCGTATATTTTAAAACGAACTTTATTAGNATTTGTTCTTATAATAGTTGTAATCGTATATTTTAAAACGAACTTTATTAGTCTACCCAGTAGTATTTTGAATATTTTAAATATAAAATAATACTATATTTCAAAATAGATGTGTAATATCCGTAAACTAATTTATTAAGTACAAATTATTTTAATATTGATAAAAAGTTGAGTTAACGAGTAAATGAGTTATACCGTTATTAAACATCAATTAATTTGGATGGATTTATCAATGTAAGAAGTATTTTAAATAGTAATAAAAGTAATGATATTGTAAATTTGCAAACTAATTCTAATAGATTTTCCTCATATTCATCTTGGAAACAAATTCCAAGTATGGAACATATAAACCAATAGAATGGACTTTGCGGGTAATATACTAATAAAATTTTATTATTCAAGTATGACAAATTATAATATAATATGTATTACTTTTAGTCTATTATGAGCTTGCTGTATTCAACTAATGATAGTCGTTTTATTTTAACCGATTCAAAAGTAAACCATGAACATTTATCGGATTATGCTAAAAATTCACTTACAACACTTTTAATAAATTATTTATACAAAGACAAAGTCTGGTAATATGTACTGTGTTATTTTAAATATTTATTATAAATTAAAAATGTATTGGTGTCAGTTAATATAGTTTGTGTGCATGAAAACTTATAGTACCTAGATAAAATAATCATAGACTATTAGTTTTTCAACTAATTTAATATTTCTATTGATTAAATTTATGTTATATTAAATATTTGTTTTGGGGAACTGATTTTTATTTTCAGAAAATTTCTTCAATTATCATTTAAATATTTCCGAAAGAACAAGAGGTAGGATTTAGATATAAAACTATTATATTACTTTATATTTTTTTCAAAAAATTATATTCAATTAATAATAATAGTAAATGCAAATAAATAATTTTTTAAAATACCCATCAATAAATTTAATAATTAAAGCACTTTTTCAAAATAGAAAACTTTTTTTAAAAATAGTTATATAGTCTCACTGTGGCCAGACTTCGGGGATATTGCCATAAGACATAGATTAAAATAAATATTAATAAAAAACCCAGCACAGTGACGTCGCGGCACAATGGGAACGTGGCATAGTTGGGTCCAGTATAGATTTAATCTGACAGTGATTAAAATCACTATCATAAGAAACGCTTCAATGCAAATCTGTAGATAATGATTAATTCTAAGAAATTGGTGGATAATTACAAAGCAACGTCAACTATTTCCTTAATTATATCCAGATTAGTAATTCTTAGATTCAAAAATATAATACAAAATTATAAATTATATAACTGTTATATTGAACTGTTTTCAAATTAATATTCATATTGATTTTTAATATGTTAAAAGTAATAATTTTTTACCTTCTTTATTTCGTCCTTTAAAGTGAAAGTTTATAATAAAAAAAAAATGAATTTATTACCATAAATTTACCGATTTTAAATTTGTAATTTTTTGGGGGATTTCCCCCGTTTCCGGGGAACGAGGGAATTTTTTTCAATTTTTAAGGGTAATGTCTTCAACTAGATACGATTTGTGATCTTTTGACGTATTATTGAAAGAAATCGGTCCAGTGAGAGCTGAGAAAAAGTGGCAACAGACATAAAAAAAAAAAA